ATTTCTGGCTAGCATATTTCAGGACGAATTATAAAATGGAAGTTGAAGAAGGTGTAGATATTAATGACTCGCCAATCTAATAATCGTATTCAACATTCAGCCAAAAATGGACGCTTCTCTTGACGAGATCCGTTTTCGATGGCAAGGGTCAGTGCACGGACTTTACCACTTTATTAGTAGATCTACCAACTTTTCAGCTGTATTTTATTTTCTACCATTTTTAACAACAAATGCTAAAAATCTACCAATATTTCCGGAAAGAAAGCAAAGAGATTATAATGAACGCAGTGTATACATATTTTATCATCGAACATACCTAAAAGAAATATGAAAATTTAACTCTGATTTTAACCAATTAAAAGTGAAATTGAGTCTCTGTAAACTCTCTATAGAAATATTTTTCGATTGCAATACGTTTTTTGTGGGAGGCGCCAAACGAATGGTGTACAAACTTCAAGGATTTCAAAACTAATTTTAATCAAACAATTTTGAAGTGCAGAGTAATTCTTTGTTTTAATGTAATACAGGGCCAGAATCAAGGCATCCGTGATCAAATCAAATTCGAATCGAAATTTTCTTTTTGAGATTACGGTTTTTGGTAACGAGTTCGCTTTTTCAATTCAAAATGTGTGTTTGAGAGAAAACAGCTGTAATTTTATTTAATTCGATTCGAATCGTGTTTCATTCGATCACGGATGCCATGTTGTGGGTCCAGATTTATGTACTACATATACGTTTTTTTGTTGAATTTTTGCATGTAAGATCTACCACTATTAATTCTTTCGAAGTCCGTGCACTGGCTTGCCTTAGCTCAGCTTTTGTTGTATAAAATATAGGTAAAATTGAAGTTTTCAGTGTAAATACATATCTTGCACATAATTTAGTATGCAGGTATTGTAAATGTTTTCGTTTTGTCATTTTTAAGATGAAGAAATAGGAACTTCTATTATCGCTTCTATCTTCTATACCGAATTTCATCAAAAAAAATTTTATTTTTAATTTGCTCCTGTTTTTCTAGAATTACTGGACGATAATGTAAACCGACTTTCAGATTTGTGCTTTTCTCGTTACAACAAGCATATGATCTGAATTTCATCAAAATCGGATAATATTTACTATATCCGCCCACAAGAGCTGTGGGCGGGGTAGCGCGTTGAATTTTACCCTTTCCACATTTCTTCATTCCTAAGTGCCAAATAGCCCATGTACGAAATTTCAGCAAATTTATAGTACGGTTACTATCTACTTTTGGCCGCAGCTTATATGGGGACGTCCCATTGTGCGGCGGCACTTTAACATGAATTACCCTTAAGATAATTAAATTTTAGGGATAACTTCGTTTCTATAGAAAAGTTTCTATCGCTTAATTTTTTTATTCGTACACACCACAGAAGTTGGTACACTACGCTATCCTTTTTTCCACTTTTTTCCTTCCCTCTGGATTTTCTCACTAGCTTAATTTTTGTAGTAATTTCTTTACTTAATTACGCCCGGTTTCGTTTTTTTTATACTAAATTATCACGTTTTTTTTGAATTTTGGTATTTAAATTTCGGTTTAACTTTATTTTTTTGTTCACGCTTGTAAATTTTCATTGCACATCTACCCAGTTTTGTTTTTTTTTGCTTGCTAACTGACCAGTTCAATGGCCAAGAATGATAGAATACAAGATTGCGTCAATCGAGCTGAGAGCAACCAGGCGTGACATCATCAAATACCAGAATTAGAGAGCAAGACGAACTCGACAAGAAAAGGAGGAAGAGTCGACCAAAGGTAGATTCCTAAGTTTTGAATTTGAAAAAGTACCAAATTTTTATTGATGTATTTAATGGACTTTATATACAAACACAATTTTATTGTAAGGATGCCGAATCAAATTAGTAAAAATCAATGTTTCGGTCGATTTCTTCTGGCATGATTGAAGGTGCTGCCGCATATTTTGTTGTCGCTTATGATTGTCACTGTGCCATGATTTTGTGTAAATTTTTTAAAGTTATTACCACACTTACGATTGCTATAAAATTTGCTTCCATTTTGTAAGATTTTCAAATTTTGGTGTTTTCAAACTAAAATCAAAAGCACCAAAAACAGGCCAAGCACCAAACTCAAAAAATTTCCCGTTTTGAATACCCACTAAATTTGGTGCGAGAAGCACGAAGTTGGCAATAGTGAATGTAAACAAAATTATTCTGCGACGTCAGCGAATGGGTGGATGCTGTCAAATCGACGAAGAGAGGGTTAGCTACCCGCGAATGGCGCCACCTTCATTTTCTGCATCGTGACATAAACTTTATGGGAGCGCCTATAAAGTTTGTGAATATAGTTCAGGAATATTATGAATGCATTCACCACTTTTAGGGTTATAGTTCATGGGTTTTAGATTTTGGTTTGTGGATATGATTTAAGAACTCTGTTTATAAATTTTACGAAAACATACATCCGGCGCACAGTGGGCTTTTTGAACACTCCATGCGAATTAATCGTACCGCTTTTGACAGAAGCAATATTTTGATATGAAACAATATGGTATTGAAAGCTAATGTTATTCCCTTTCAGGCATAAATACTGCCACTGACCCTCAAATAATCCTGGGCCATAAAAAAATTGGTCAAAAATAGGGTTCTTCAGAAAACAACATGCAAAATCCACCGGATTTGTTCCAATTTTTTTTTTTTTGTATGTTTTATTACACTAATATTATAGATTTTGGGGCGGGAAATACGATTCCACTGTTTCAAAATCCATTTCACGGAAAAATACTGCCATTGACCCACAAATAATCCTTGACCATAAAAAAATTGGTCAAAAATAGTGTTCTTCAAAAAAAAAAACATGCAAAATCCACCGGATTTGTTCAAACAATTTTTTTTGTATGTTTTATTACACTAATATTATAGGTTTGTGGATATGATTCAAGAACTCTGGTCATAAATTCTACGTAAAGATACACACGGCGCACAGTGTGCTTTTTGAACACTCCATGCGAATTAATCGTAGCGCTTTCGACAGAACCAATATTTTGATATGAAACAAAATGGTATTGAAAGCTAATGTTATTCCCTTTCAGTGAAAAATACTGCCACTGACCCTCAAATAACCCTGGACCATAAAAAAATTGGTCAAAACTAGGGTTCTTCAGAAAACAACATGCAAAATCCACCGGATTTGTTCCAAATTTTTTTTTTTTATGTTTTATTACACTAATATTATAGATTTTGGGACGGGAAATACGATTCCACTGTTTCAAAATCGAAAAAAAATTTAACACCTCAGTTTAGGAAATGTATTTTTGATTGCATTTTTTCACACGTTATAGTGCTATTCAAGATCTTTAATATAGGCCCTTTGAGAGCCAAATTCCAACGATTCTGAAGTTAAACTTCGAAATTTCAGTCGACATTTTTGCATTTTTTTCTTCTAATTTCAGAGTAAAAACTCGTACATCAGATTCCAAGTTTATTTTAAAATTGTTATAACTTGGCTCTCAGAGGGCCTAGAGATTTCCACCATGGCTCAAATTAAATATCTTGAATAGCACTATAGCGTTATTATTCAAGTGATATAAAATTGTGAGAAGGATACACAGCTGCATGCAAATAAAAAAAATGCAATCAAAGATGCATTTCTTAAATTTAGGTGTTGAAATTTTTTTCGATTTTTAAACAGTAGAATCGTGTTTCTCGTCTCAAAATCTATAATATTAGTGTAATAAAATATACAAGTTTTTTTTGAACAAATCCGGTGGATTTTGCATTTTTTTTTTTTTTGAAGAACACTATTTTTGACCAATTTTTTTAAGGTCAAGGAGTAATTGTGGGTCAATGGCAGTATTTTTCCGTGAAAGAGAATAACATTAGCTTTCAAAGCCATTTTATTTCTTATCAACATATTGCTTCTGTCGAGAGTGCTACGATTAATTCGCATAGAATTTTCAAAATACACACTGTGCGGCGCACTGTAGGCAAAACACGAGTTTTTTTTTCAAAATTGTAGATCTTCGCTGAAAGGGTTAAAAGCGTCTCATATATGACAGATTAAATGCTGCACTTTCGTAAAGATATCGACCAGTATAACCATTTTTGTTATATAAAATTTTTGGTGAAAGCTGATAGTTTACGAGTTATTAGAGTTTAAACGAAGCTTTCAATGTCCCAAAAATCGAGTCTTAAGATAAAATAAAGAGAAATCTTTCAGAAACAGTGCTAATGGTGTATTAAATATAGTGTTTTCAAATAGAATGAGAGCCAAAATCCAAAATTTCAAAAAAAAAAATGACATTTTGAACTGTATTTTGAGGGTTAAGTTATTGTTGTTGTAACTTCTCTATAGTTTTCCTACATTATATGATCATTTATCTTCACGATAAAAAAATTTTCATTCCATTATCTCTGTCCTACCGAAGATCTACGATTTTGAAAAAAAACTCGTGTTTTGCCTATAGTGCGGCGTACATACACACTGCTCATATTTTGAGAAATCATCGTCTTATTTGTATCTTTTTCCAGGTTTTTAAGCGATTTTATATATGTATATTTTTTCCAAACTTGAAATATACGACTATATACAAATTATGACGAAAGTTTGATGTAAAGAATCGGTATCGGGTACTGAAAAGGAAGTATTGGGTACTGACATCTTTTTCTAGTTGCCGAGATATCTACACCGATTTAAAGAAGTCTATAATTTGCCTGGTTTATGAAAAAATCCAAATTTTGACAGATAATATCTCCGAATAAAAAAATAATCCTGGGATACGTGTCGACGTATTTTATGTAAATAACCCGTGAACCGAGTTTGAAGCAAATCGGAAGTGTGCCTTCATGTTTTAAACGAAAGCCGTCCGATTTGAAAAAGAACGCCTCATATGTGAATCCTTAAACTAAAAAATCATTATTTGTCATTATTACAGTCGTTGTCGTCAACCTCAAATTTTTTTTCTAATTCGTCAAATTTTTTCACACATTTAGTCCGTATTAGTTTATAATCGCATACATACTTGCAGGCTTTCGAGACAACGGCAACCACCTTAAATCATGTACTAATATTACTGGCAATGTTTCCTGAGTACCAAGAGAGAGTATTTGAAGAAGTTATTTCGTTCTTTCCCGACAAAGAAACTTTCGAAATGAATTATTCAGACATCAATCAACTGACATACGTGAGTATGGTAGTTGATGAAACAATGCGTGTAATGGCTACTGTCCCGTTGGTGGGACGCCATGTGCGAGCAGATACAAAACTAAGCAACGGAATTATCTTACCGGAAGGCCTTCAAATTCTTATTGATATTTTTAACATGCAACGCAGGAAAGATATTTGGGGTGCGGATGCACATATTTTTAACCCAGAAAATTTTCTACCATCAAATCTAGAGGGAAAACACCCGTACTGCTATATACCTTTTACGAAGGGTGTACGAAATTGTATAGGTGAGTTTCTTAGGTATGTATTGCATATTATACATTTGCACATACATACGTATATATATATTGTACATATTGCGCATTACTAAAATATTGGTACAACTCAAAAAAGGTGGTACGTTTCAGCGTAAAAAGAAAATGTATAAAGCTATTTCCTGTATACTTAACTCTCGTATCTATAGATTTTTTTGCGGTATGTGAAATACTTGATTTTTGGATTCCAAAAATTGATACTGTGTTTTTTTCCAAACTACTGCAATAATACTCATTTTGCTGTCTAAATTTTTTAATACATGGTGTTCGTGGAGACAAGTTATAAAAATTTTATTGAAGAATACCCTATTTAAGAATTTTTTTGAAAAACACCATATCTCAGAATTTGGTTGAAGAGCGGTTCGGATTCGGTTCAAAAAAGCCCTATCTCAAATGAAAATAAATCGCAAATGTGGGCGTTTTTGAGCTAAATTCTGAGATAGGGCGTTTTCCCATAAAATTCTAAGATAGGGCGTTCTTGAAAAGTTTTCTGAGATAGGGCGTTTTCGAACTGCCTGCCGAGTTAGGTCGATCTTCCACTCAGGTGTCAATAAACTGTTATTTAAAAATAATAGGACTCGACATCTTGACCAGTTCTGACTATTTTCGCTGCGTTTGTTTAATATTTATTATTTTTTTATTAAAGAATACTTATTTATATAATACTTAACAACATACATATAAATCCACATTTCAAACTTTTTAGAGAAATTAAAAAAATTCACAACAACATACTCTGTATTCATAATTTTATGAAAAATCCCAAGTATGCAGTTTTGTAGCTTACTAAAAATACAGACCAACAAAAATGGCAAATGTTTAAGCTGTTTTTGATAGACTTTTTGTGCTGATTACGAATCCGTAAGTATAAAGTTTCCTTCAGTGTTGGCATAATGTTACTCCGATTAAAGATAAAAAACTAACGATTAAAATGTTAATCGCGATTAATGACTAAAGTTGATTAATTGCGATTAACGACTAAAATTTATTAATCGTAATCATCTGAACGATTAATGATTTTTAGTCGTTAATCATCCGTTGTGATTACGATTAATTAATTTTAATCATTACTCGTTGGTCGCTTTTTGTTCCTATGGCCTTATAACAGAGGTGGCCAAAACTCACACAATCATTTATTTCAATTTTGCTAAACGATGAGAAAATGAAGAGAACAAGTCGCTCACGCGTCTGATGTAAACAGTGTTGTCAACGATTTCGAGTTGCAAATTAAAAGAAAAAGGGATTTTTTTATTTTGTAAATAGTGTGAAAGGTAGAGATAATATTAAAGAATTAACCTGTTAATATAAATTAATTAATTTTCATTGCTTGCTTAGATTTTTTATTATAATTAAAATAAAAATTAAAGCTAATAGTTGAATTAATTTGTATTAATCTTTTTATTTTGAATTAAAAGAAAAGGGATTTTTTAGAATTATTTTAAAGTCATCTTTTTATTTATGTGCATATGTACGTAATAATTTACTAATTCAATATTTGGGAATAAGGCGCTATAATGGCGCTTAACAAAAAAGTTTGTCGTCCGTGCGATTTATTCTTGACACACCAAACACTGTGCTCGCCCTTCCTAGTGAGTAAAAAATCTAAATCCGAATTCATACTAAACATTTTTACCGTGTCTTGCAGCGACTTGATTGCTTGAAAGTTTCGCATCGATTGAGCACGATCACAGCAAAACCATAATCGTCGGCATCACTGATTCATAGAGTATCCACATGTATGTGTGAATGCGGCGCAATGCTTATCGTGTACGTGTGAAAGCAGAAGAGAAAAATTTGGCACGCGTGCCTATGAAATGGCCAACCTTGCCTTTTTTATTTTTTTGAGCTTGAGGCCGGTATTGTGGAACAACCACAATAGTTTTAAGATGGTAAAATGAAAGAAGTCTGATGAGGAGATGTGGTGATCTCCGAAACAGCTGTAACTTCTACCATTATAAAATTATTGTTGTCCTTCCACTATAGTTTTTCATTAAAAAACGGCCTCAAGCTCAATAAAGTTGCTGAATATTAATCGTTAATCTAAAAAATCTGATTAAGTGTTTTGTCCGAATTTGGTACCAAACACCGGTTATATTCTTTTTTGTTTCACGCTTATAAAAAAAAAAACGCATAACATATAAAAATAATAATTACTATGTATTATTATTAGTAATGCATAATCTGGGAATTTTTATAACCCATCGAACATGTGCAGATGTATATTAAAACATAGTTGGCTTAACGTCTGTTAGAATAGATCTTAATGAAAATGCACACCAAATTGCTTAGACTGATGAGGAAAACCTACTTAGCCATACCTGATTAACTGGCCTTGTATGCACAGGAAAATTCCAGCATGCATTAATTAATCACCAAACCGGCTTCATCAAATTAAGCGTTAATGATTAAAAATCATTTTTTTTAATCGCGGTTACGATTAACGGGTTGGCTTTCCAAAACGGAACCAATTGAGATTTCAGCGAAAGTATATGGTATTTCGTCTTGAAACTTGGTCAGGATGTTGGGGGAGGCTTTCTCTACATGAATATATCACTCTCACAAAGTAGTTGCTAATAGTATTTAAGCCATTTGTTGTTAAATAATCTTTACTACCACCCCCAAATTTTTGTACAAAATGCCACTTATCAATTGTATTTTTGTTGATATACAATATCTTCAATGTTCACGTGCGTATTTTATACTTTTAATATATATATTCATCAATTAATTAAGTAAAACGCGCTTATAAATCCGTTCACTCGTTTTACCACTTTTCACAAACAAACAGAAATAACAATGGCCGACAGTAAGAGCAAATGTGTGCTGCCATACTTCTAGAAGTTATAAAATAAAATAATAAACCATATCATTTTCGTTTTTGATTAAAAATTTTCGCCTGCTGGGCTTTTGATTATAAAATCGATACTTCAATAAATAATGAAAATTTCTAATTAAAAATCGCGCGATTTTTTATTAAGGATTTTCGCCTGCTTCACTTTTTATTTTAAAATCGATACTTCGATAAGTAATGAAGAGTTTTATTTAAAAATAGCGCGATTATTAAAAATTTTCCCCTACGGCGCTTTTTATTATAACATCGATACTTCGATAAATCGCGCTATAAATAATTACAATTTTTAATAAAATATCGCGCAACATTATGTGAATTTTTTCACATTTCGTTTTGCGTTTTTTTTTGCATTTTTTGGTATGTATGGCAGCACCGGCATTTCAGTTCAGTTGGTGTACAAGGGAAAAAGTGAGGTTGAATTCGGTATTTTTTGCAACTTCAAATGCGAATTACTTAAAAACTAAAAGCCTCCGGAGGGTGGGGTCTTCAGATTTAGAATCTGAAAAAGCTCCTTTATACTCCCTAATATTTTAACTGTAATCGGATTGAATTTGTTCGAATTAACTAATTGATTAAAAAATTAGTGCAGATTTTAAGAAAAACGAGGTGAAAGTGTCAAAAAATCGCGTTTTTTCCGATACTTGTGAAGGTGATAGAACCTTCCACTTAGGTTTAAATTAAAGCTAACACTCTCGACTACTATCCCTGAAAATATCATCCTTGCAAATTGGCATGATGGTCATTTATACAAAAGGTGATAGAACCTTCCATTTAGGCCTAAATTAAGGCTTGAACTTTCGACCACACCCCCTGAAAATACCATTCCGGCACCTTGACTCTAAGGTTACTTATAGTTATTTATTAAAGAGCAAAGACTAATGGTGATTTCGTTTCTTCCAAAAAATGTTGCCTTTCCACGGTGCAAAATGTGTTTGATGTTACACTCAACCCTTTAAAAGGGCATATTGTTGCCTCTTGTCCTTTTCTAGCTCGCGCATTTCATAATAATAACGTTTCCCCTGACAAAGCTTTAAAGGGTAGAGAATGTGCCTTTTTTGCCTTACAAGAGTGTGGCATTTTAAGTAACGAACACCAAATTTTTTCACCGTTTGCCTTTATTTTAGAATCGAACGCGAAAAGAGAATTGAGCAATTAAAAGGCGATATTTTTCGGTAGAAACGAAAACATCATAAATTTTAGCAAAATTTTTTTTTCAATAGCACAATTTTCCAGTATTTTTTTATTGTTCAATAAATGACTATAAGTGACCATAGGGTCAAGCTGCAGCGATGGTATTTTCTGGGATAGTAGTGTAGAGTTCTAGCTTTAATTAAGACCTAAGTGAAAGGTTCTATCACCTTTCGTTTCTTTGCTAGATCTTCTCAAATATTGCAAAAAACATTACAATTTGACCGCGTTTTTCTCAAAATCTAGATATGATGGAAACTTTTTGCTTACGGATTCGCAATCAGCACAAAAAAGTGTATCAAAAGCAGCTTTAATATTTTCCACATAAAAATCAGTGTTGCCCTGTGTAATAAGGTGTAAGTTTCCATAGGCTAAGAATTCGCGTCGATTTTCGTTTTTTTGTTATTATTTTCTTCCATAAAAAAAGAAATTGTCTAGCATAGTAACTTTTCAAACTAGAATATTGTTGTTTTTTGAATTTTTCTAATTTTTGTTCAAAGTGATTTTGTGAAATTTGGATTTACATGGCTTTGTTACCTAGACATATCTTTTTGTCTCGGGGTGTAAAACGTAACACATAATACCAGGAATTTCTTTATTTTATTGGAAAATTTTTTTAAAAAATGCAGTACTGTAAAAAGTGCTTTTATTTTTAAATGGAGATACTGTGAAGCTGGATTTTTTTCGCAGTAATATACTGGTTTTTGTCTGAAAAAACATACGAGCTTATGTGTACTGTATACATAGTGAGAATAAATTGAAAACTTTAAACTCCTAATCAGTAATAACGCTTTTTGAGTTGTGACAGCCTTTGAATGTGCGACATTTTTGTACATATTTTCTATATAAAATAAGTACATACATATAACCAGTTAATTTATTTTAGGTTCCAAATATGCACTGTTATCGCTTAAAGTGGCTATTGCGAAACTTATAAAAAAATTTCGATTTACCACTGAGTTTGACTATAAGGACCTACAATTTGTGGAAAATATAACAATTAAACTAAAACAGATGCCACTTCTTAAAATACAGAAGCGATCAACGTAATCCCCACGGACCGATCTCTCTAAGTGTGCACATATATACATATCGCACACCATCTTCAAAAGAGGCACAACTCAAAAATCAGATCCGAAAATATAACTGCAATTAATATAAAAACATATTAAATAAAATGTCTTAAATGTATGACTTCAACTGGGTATTAGTATAATAAAAGCAGCAAAAATGTCTTATATATTATCTTTTTTTTAGTTTAAATGCGCCATTCCATTTTAAGTCGGACGGATTTCGTAAAAAGAATTATGTCATGTCTTCGATTCGCTTAAAAGTTTTTTTGTGCATTCTATGCATGAATTAAGCTAACACGTGTTCGAAGAATTGTTTTCTTCTTTTTTTTCATCGGAGATATGATTTGTCAAAGTTTGAATTTTTTCTTGATTCTGACTAATCATGTACTTCTTCCAATCGTTATAGCTCGGGTTCTGCTCATTGCAGAGACTTCATCTTAACGTCATTTTAAAGCTAAAGCAACGGGCTTAACATTCCTGTATATAAGATGGTCAAGATTGTCCCAAAGCTAACTCAGCTATTAACAGTTGAACTTTTTGAAGTTGATTTGGAGTTGGAGACCAGTAAATTAGGGATTTAAAATTATACCAGCGGAATCCTAGTTTAATTCTCTAAACGTTGTTCAAAAAAAATGGGCGCTTTTGATGAACCATTTTTAAAATATTTTTCTCTATGACGATATGGTTTATTTTGTGAGAATCAACAATTTTTTGTAATTTGTTTTCGAAAACTTATGTTGAGATTAGGGATGTTTCGAATGTCCTATTTTTCACATTCACGAATGCGAATTCTCGGAATGCGAATGTGCGAATGCGAATGTTAGGAGTAACATTAGAAAGGCTATAATCAACTTAAGTCAACGTGTTTATTACTTAAAAATTGTGTAAATTATTACAACATTAAGCGAGTGCTTAATCTATAGTGCTTAAATCTAGTAGTAAAAGTTCAAAAGAGGTATATTATATTTCAAAAAAAGTAATTTTGCTGCCTTTTCTCCCATGAGGCGATGTCTTAGAGGCTCGTATATAAGGCCGGCTGCACTAAACAATTGCTCACTTGGAACGCTGGCGGGTAGAGCGCTCAAATATTTGCGTGTCAGATCTGTCAATTTGTCGTATTTTAGTTTAGTTTTCCACCAATCGAGAGGATTTTCACCGAGATGAGCTCGTTTTTCTTTAGGATATGCCTTCAATTGTGCTTTAATTTCACATTTTTTAATGTCTCCAAATTCTACATCCGAGCCTTCGCTTTCGACAAACCCCAAGATATGGGCGTGGCAATTGCAGGACTAAAGCTAGTAAAACGCAGATATTGCAGATTTCGGCAGAATCAAGTAACCCCATTTCAAAATATGAGGTTATTAAAAGGCATTCCGCTCTTAATAGGCCTTTCTCCACTGTATGTTGTTTATATTGTAAATGGTCGTTGAACTAAAATTTTTCGTCTGAGCAAATACTTTCGAGAACAAGTAGAATCGAGTATTCCTTAACGATACTTTGAGCAGCATCGAGTATTCTCTTCGATACTTTTAATGAGTACAGGCATCGAGTACATGGTGGTATCGAACACTAGGTATTTCGAAAACATTATGCATTCCACCATTGCCAAAGTGAAGCGATTTATTCTATTTGTTTTGATCAATTTCAGATCTGAGAAAATGTGCTCTGCAGCGGTAGAGCTGTGCGGCAAACATAACAAGTGAAAAATAAAAGAAGTTAGTTCGGAATATAAAAAGTAATTTAAAGCATTTTTTAGCTTGCTTACTTCAACGCAATCAACGTCCGTAATGTGTACATAGGCTCTTACCCACATACATTTTTGTATAAATATATATGTATTGTATGCACAAATTATTACTCTTCCTCTAATCATCTAGTGTTCAAGAGACTATTACCGAAATGGATACCTTATCTTGGCTTAACATGAGGGCACTGGTTTGGATGCTGGGCGACTATGAACAATACGAGAAATCTAAGGCTAATATCGGTAAATTCATAAACAATGTAAGACCAGTGTGCATATATTCAAAATTCTTAAAAATTCAAAAACACCTTACAGCTGAAATTTCAATTGCTGCAGAGCTCTTCCCAATACCTGTAAAAACTTTAAGCAGGCTCTGATGATAGGTAGAAGTAAAAAAGTTCTAGTAAAATTAAAATTTATTCACCAAAATGCTTTGAAACGTTAAAATCAATGCGAATTTATATAAGGTGTTATTGATTCTCCAAATGCAACAAATACTTGAATTTTGTTTTTGCTTTTAGCGGGCTTTTCTCATACAAAATTTTGGCAATAAACGCCACTCACAGCTGATGAAACAACTATTTACTACGTAAATTTAATGAATTTCTTGACAATTTAGGTTTATTTTAGTAACATTAGTCACTTTTAGCATGCGTGAGTTTGCATTTCGTCATTCAAATACCACAAACTGTTGACAGGGAATTTTTACTAGCAAGAGGTGTATTTTTCACTTGTATGTGTGCACAATGGTTAATACCCTTTTTAACAGCCTTTTATTAGCTTCACCTGTATGTTTGTATGTATGTATGTTTGTAACCGACTCCTTTGGACTTGATTTTGACCCACTTTAAACGGACAGATTTAATTCCCACTTTGTACACTTATCAAGAATCAGCGACAATATAATAATTTCATAAATTTATCTCATTATCCCGATTAGGATCGCCAGGATTAAATAATTTCCTCACGCAGCCTCTGTGTGAGAGCAAGTGAGACAACTACGCTGTCTGCGCATGCGTACCGTCTACTTACTTTCCGACTCGAGCACTCGGCTTATTAGTGTTAATACATTCTATCCCTATCAGTTGCACAGTTGGCCAAGTGGGCTAAGGCGCAATTCGTAGGCGCTAGACAACGAACTTACCAGACATGATTTCAAATCCTGTCTATGGCTGAAAATAAATCATGTCACCCTATCTTCCACTGCTTGACGGCGGTACTGATATTAATTGCAAAGATGAATTTGACAATACGCCACTTCTTTTAGCAGTAGAAAGTAATCAATAATATTCAAGGATTTTATTGAGCTTGAGGCCGGTTTTTTAATGAAAAACAATTGTGGAAGGACAACAATAATTTTAAAATGGTAGAAGTTATAGCTATTTCGGAGATCACCACATCTCCTCATCAGACTTCTTTCACTGGGATTCGATTCAACGAACCTAGCGGCCATAGCCAGTAGTCTGTTGTTGCTTTTTCCACTTTTTCCAAGTGTTTAGCCAACTACAGTCAAGCGCAGCATTTCCGCTGCTATTTACACTTGATCATGTGGTTCTTTTTTTGTTGGTTTTTTTGTTAGTAATTCTACTTTTAGAATGTTTGACTTTTAGGAGTACTCGTCCTTATGTTATTTGTTTTTTGTTACTTATAACAATAATATTCAACAATTTTATTGAGCTTGAGGCCAGTTTTTTAATGAAAAACAATTGTGGAAGGACAACAATAAATTTAAAATGGTAGAAGTTATAGCTATTTCGGAGATCACCACATTTCCTCATCAGACTTCTTTCACTGGGATTCGATTCAACGACCCTAGCGGCCATAGCCAGTAGTCTACCCAGTGAGCTCAGTTCGCCACGTAAACTGTTGATACTTTTTCCACTTGATAATGCGGTTGCTGTTTTTGTTGGTTAAGCCAACTACAATCAAGCGCAGCAATTCCGCTGCTATTTACACTTAATTATGTGGTTGTTGTTTTTGTGGTTTTTTTGTCAATAATTCTATTTTTAGAATGTTTAACTTTTAGGTCTGGTTATTTGTTTTTTGTTATTTATGGCCTTATATTCTACAATTTTATTGAGCTTGAGACCGCTTTTTTAATTAAAAACTATTGTGGAAGACCCACAATAATTTTAAGATGGTAAAATGAAAGAAGTCTGATGAGGAGATGTGGTGATTTTCGAAACATCTATAACTTCTGCCAGTAAAAAATTATTGTTGTCCTTTCACTAGAGTTTTTCATTTTTTTTTCCGAATTTGATACCAAACACCGGTTATATTCTTTTTTGTTTCACGCTTATAAAAAAAACGCATAACATAAAAATAATAATTACTATGTATTATTATTAGTAATGCGTAAACTGAGAATTTTTATAACCCATCGAACATGTGCAGATGTATATTAACACCTAGTTTGCTTAACGTCTGTTAGAATAGATCTTAACGAAAATGCACACCAAATTGCTTAGACTGATGAGGAAAACCTACTTAGCCATACCTGATTAACTGGCCTTGTATGCACGGGAAAATTCCAAAACAAATTAAGTAATCACCAAACCGGCTTCATCAAATTAAGCGTTAATGATTAAAAATAAATTCTTTTGAATCGCGGTTACGATTAACTGTTTAATAAGATTAACATCCGAATCCGAGTGAACTCGAATATATAGTTGCCAGCTTTGAATGCTGATTCGAAATCAGTTAGTGCAAAGGAAACAACAGACATTTATGTATGTCATTTTGCTCACGCTGCCCCATCAGGCGCAATGGCCGAGTGTGCAAAGCACTAGACTGCCAATTGACAGAGCCGAGTTCGAGTCCGAGTCGTGGGGCAGTGGAGATTTTTTTTAATTTAATTTTTGTTTATTTTTTTAATAAATATTTTTTTTTAGTTTACAAAAAAATGCACTAGCAGCCCACTGTGCAGAGAGCGGACACAATCCCGATTTTGAAGCTGTGAGCATATTACAGCAAGAACAACACTATAATAAACGTTTAACATTAGAAATGCTCCACATAATTAACACACCACCAAACAAGAGACTAAACTACAAAACGGACACAGAAAACTGCGCNGTATATGTTTATAAAGAAAAATTTGTCATCCATAGTCTTTAATTCTACTGACGCAGTCGGTAGGATCTGCGCAAAAGATCCTAAAACGAGTCTACATAAGTGAGGTTCTTTCGAAGCCACAATAATCGGAATAAACGAAATTATAAAAAAGATATTGAAAAAAAACTTGTTGTATCATAAAAATTCTTAAAAAGCAATAACTTAAGAAACCAAGTGTTGAGACTGAAAGACTTAAATAATTC